CCGCCAGGAACAGACCCAGGCCGCCTAGCTCCTGGCGGGAAGTGCTAGCAGCCCTGCCTGGCAAAAGCCACGGCTCCCACGCCCGGGGCCCAGCCCGGCCCTGGAGTGACCTGGGCTGGGGTGCTGAACCCCGCCCCAGCAAGCAGCCGGGAAGGAGGTCAGGCAGGGGTGCTGAGAGCAGGAAGGCACACCCCTCTCCCTAGTAGACAGGCCATCACAGGACACCCTCGGAAACACCACACACACACCACCAGCCACACACCACACAGAGATACCAGGACCAAGGCTGTGCTCACACACCCAAGCCCAACAAGGCCATGCTGGGCAGAAAGGAGGGACCTAGGCACCCTCCACTCGACTAGACAAACCCTCGAGACAACACAACCACTTAGCTTACCTTCTACAAAACCTACCTACGTTTTTAAGTGAGCAATTCAGTGGTTTTAGTATATAATATGCACAGGGTTGTGCAACCATCACCACTGCCCAATTTTAGCACTTTTCTATCATCCCCCAAACAAACTCATGCCCATTAGCACCACTCCCCATTCCTCCTGCTCCCAGCCCCTGGGAAACACTAATCTACTTTCTGCCTCTGTGGATTTGCCCGTTCTGGACATGTCATATCAATGGAATCATACAAAGTGGCCTCCTGAGTCTGGCTTGCTTCACTGAGCATCATGTTTTCAAAGTTCTTCCATGCTGTAGCACGAATCAGCACTTCGGTCCTTTTTAAGGCTGAATAATATTCCATTGTGTGGACAGGCACATTATCTGTTCATCAACTGATGGACATTTAGGCTGTTTCCGTGTTTTGGCGGTTGTGAAGAATGCTGCTGTGATCATTCACTTGCAAGGTTTTGTGTAGATGTGTGTTCTCATTAAAATTACATAAATTTGTTTTTCTAATAATGAAGTCTGAGTGAGTATAAGTACCTTAAAATCCATATGCTAGAGTAGCTGCCCCAAAAAGGGGTCCAGAGCCGTTGACCTCCAATCCCAATGGGCCCCCCAAAACCAAAGCCCAGTCCTCCAGCCAGCCCATGCCCCCTCCTGCCCCAGACGGAACAGGCTCCCGTCCATTCCACGGAGGGTCTTGGCCAAGTGTGCGGGAGCTCCTGGCCAGGACTGGGGAGGGGGTGGGGTGGGAGCGTCAGGGTTCCTCCGCCTTGGGTTTCAGCTCCCAGCCCACTCCACCTTCCTCCCCCCCCTCTACTTCCGAACCAACGCTCAGCCTCCCGGGCGGGGTGCAAGCACGGTGGGAGCTCCCTGCCCTTGATCTTGTCCTCCCTGCCCCCGACCCGTCCCCCACCCCCTACTTCCCCCGCCC